GACGGAATTTGACTCTGATTTTCTGAAGAGAGCAAAATCTGCAACATACAGAGCACTAAATTTGTAGTATGGAAGAGTAGATGTAAGTGTCAGGGAACTTGGAAGGCAGGTAAACCTGTGTTTGTCTCATAACTCATTTTTCTAATTACTCAACTACCCATTTTTAACGGTTGAATTTTATGGGAAATGGTCCCTAAAATACACTTTGATTCCACAAGAGGGCATCTAGGACCCCGGCTAAAGGGACTTCGCGCTCTTGATGTGCGCTATGCGCACATTTTATTCAGTTTTACTTAAATGTTACTAGTTGAAAATTCTAAATGTTGGCAGCTATGCCAGGCCAAGGCAGTTGCTGGAAAGAGGACTTTTGTCTCGGCTCCTTTTGATTTGCAAAGTGAATGTGGCTGCAACATTCCTCTATGCTATCCAGAACACACATCTCAAAGTCATCGCACACAATTTTCTGGAGAGTGAGCATTCCCATGTGGAATGCAATAGCATGCATTCTGCTATTGAAACAGAAGAAAAAAAACGTCAATGTCTTCACAATGCATGACTGGGTAAAACATCTTCCACAATGCAAGACGTCGGCTTCCATACAAGGTCATAAACATTTGCCATGGAGACTTTTATGATCTGAAGAATCTCTCACAGCAGATCATGAAGAACAAACGCCGAGACGAAGGTCGACACGTCTTCAACTGGCTACATGTAAAGAGCTTCCAATACAGGAAGGAAGAGCAAGACAAGTATAACTACTCAGATGACTACAAGAAGATAGATCATCAGTTCCACGTAATCTGGATCTTGTCTACCAAGACAAGCATTGAAAAAAAGCCTAAACCTTAAGAAGAAGGATCTCATCAAGTTGTGCAATAGCCTACCCATTCCTGAAGAGTTTAATGGATGGTATTTGGAACTCCCGTTGTATAAGCTTCTGACATTGACAGGGTCAAAAGGTCATGTCCTCCATTTATGATGTTTGACCAAGATTCATTAGTTAATGGCATTGAACATAACTACAGTTACTTTGTCAGATTTCATGCTTGCAATCAAACTTTCAATTGCATATTTGGACATAGACAGTTGTGGTTTTAAGCCTTGATCTATTGTTTTATTTCTATTGTTTTATTTCTAATGTATTTTTTTGTTCTGGAATACATCAAGTTACTTTGAGAAACATATCAAAGCAATTTGATATCAATTCATATCTCCCACTTATACATTTATTTACCTGTATTCACATTTCTGCTTGTACATGAATATATGCAATTGTAGCACTTTTTGATGATGTGGGCATACTAATTGCTATGTAACACCTGACGGCTGTATCGAATTTTGACGAAAATTGTATCAAAATGTGCGTAAGACTTGAATAAAAAAATTCAAGAATAACAATTTTAAATTCCAAGCGGTTGCGACGCTATCTCCTTTTTGGGGGGAGGGGGGCTCTTACGCCCCCCCCCCCCCAGTACAGTAAGGAGTAAATGACGTTAGCCATATAATTATACATATGCATTTTTTAAGATGCTTACATATACATGTAAAGTGTTAAAGGGCAAGTCCACCCTGAAAATAAGTTTGTCTTCATAAAAGCAGATAAATGAGAAAAACAAATCAATGAAATTTTGAGGAAAAATCAAAAAGAAATGAGAAAATTATGAATTTTTGGAGTTGTAATCAGTGAAGCACAAAGTGGAAACTGTGTGACATCACATGCGAGCTTATATCTCATTTGCTTTGTACAAAAAATGTTTAAAAAAATTAATTTCCTCAGTCGTTCATTAATTGAATACGATAACATTAGCGTTATATTTGCAGTGATCAGTAATAACATCTATCAGAAAGATGAACAAGGGTAATGCATTTCACCTACTAACAGTAATACTGGTGAAGGTGATAGCAGTAGTAAAGGTAACAGAGACACTGATAATATTTGATATTAGGGGTGACAGTGGAAATGTTTTGATTTATCATTTCAAAAAAACTTGGTTTAGTGAAAACTGCAGGTCTTGGCGAGTGTCTTTGATATGTTAAGGGAATTGAGGACAAATGATGATGTAATACCGGAGTTCAAAGATGAGTATGAATATGACATAGTGCTCTGTAAGAAGTTGGTGAAGTCATGAGAGTTAACCCAGGAAGCCTTAAAACGTGCTGCGGGAAAATACAAGAAGTATTAGGATATGAATGCTAGAAACAGGAAATTGAATATCGGAGATCAGGTGTTGATCTTGCTTCCCACTGAGAACAAGTTGTTGCTAAAATGGAAGAGTCCATTCCCTATGCTGGGGTGAAGTATGACTATGGCTACATTGTCGGTGGTGTTCTTAAGACATATCACATTAATCTTATCAACAAATAATTTTCCAGGCAAAAGGTTAACTTGTCAGTGGCTGCAACTGCTTTGATTTGTGTACATAGAATAGGAAAGTGTGTCGAGATTCTGCGGAAGATGTCGAGGATCAGTTGTTTGTATTGAAGGTAAATGTGGGTGCTGGGCTTATATGCAGTACCATTCAGGAGAAGAATTCCTGATTGCTTATGCGAGTCAGTAAGAAGTCATTACCACGGGAAGAAAATTACACAACATTTGAAAAAAGTGCTTAGCAATAGTACGAGCAATCAAAAAGTTCAAATATTATTTGTATTGAAGTACACACAGACCACAAACCTTTGGTCTATATTCAAGCGAAAAAGTTTGACATTAAGAGAATCATGAGATGGAGCATGATGCTCCAAGATTACAGGTTTAGGCTTGTCTCGGTGAAGGTTCAGTATAATGTTACAGCAGATTATATGAGCACAATGTAAAATGCAATACATGTGGATTTCTTTTGTCTGTCTACCCTCGTAAATTATTGGATGTGTATCACGGTTTAACATATTTTGTTAATGTCATTTGATGAATACACATTGCATTTACCAGGATTATGTAATGTTGAGATTTATTTTATATTGATCTTGCCAGCCACAAATGTATTCCCATCAAACTTTCTAAGATAGCACATATAGAATTATTATCCTGAGCATATGTTTTGTAGAAATGCATAAAATCCACTACTGAAGTTTGATATGAAAAAGAAAATATTACAGCAGTATATATGCATTGTAGATTATGCAAGTGCAGGAATATTAATCACTACATTTTGAACAGAAAAAACAGAAAGAGATGATAATTAGACAGCCACCTTATGTATCTAAATATATCAGAGAGGGCTTAATGATGCTGAACACAATGGCCCGAATTCACAAAGGAGGTTTAGATTTAACCCAGGCTAAATCTAACCCTGGGTTATTTAGCCCAGGCTAAATCTAACCCACGGTTTAAACCTCGCTCGGTATTCACAAAGCGTGGGTTAGATAACCCATGGTCTAAATCTAACCCACGGTTTAACCCACGGTTTAAGCATGCCTAAGAGAGCAAAAAAATAAACTGAGCATGCGCAGAATTGAAGCATTGAACTGAGCATGCGCGCTCAGTACACTTGGTTACTCCACCTAGTTCACCGTCGTCTGCTAAGTCCAGATTCAGTTGTATTTGGGCTATTACTCTTCGCCTACAAGTAGAGACTGAAAACCGACCGATTCTAAGTTGAGATAAGACTTTAAACCACTATTCACATACTAAAACAGTTCTCTGACAGATGTCCTCAAAATATTACCGAATTTCGCATAAATTACCTCAATAATTCCTCACTATCGTTGTTAATTTATGGCCTATAATCGTCCGACATAATTATGATCAGCTGGGCATCACAACACACCGTATCGACAGTTTTCGTGGAAGAGTCCACAAAAAACTTCTGTAAACGACCCTTATACCAGAGTGAAAATTTTCTATGATGTAGTGTTCATTTTAGAGCTATATGATCACATTTTCGTTGATTGTTATAATGATTTTAGAGCGTAGGTCACACTTTAGTTTAGCAATCAATCAATCCGAAGTAAGAGTAGACTCGTGTTATATATAGCGTAGACTCCGTAGAGGCAGCGAAAGCGATCGATGACGTTTAGTCCAGAATGTGTTGATGATGTAGAAAGAAAGGGCTGAAAGGTTACGATAAATACTATCTGATAGAAAATACTGGCATTAATGCATAAAATGCATAGATGTATTGAGAAAAAAAAACCGGGCTTACTGGTCATATAAAATAGGAGGACAGCAAAAACAAGGCAGTCTTGACATGTGATAAAGAATTATTAGGCCGAATTCGGGGGGGGGGGGACATTAATTGTTTTCTTAGGGGATGGGGTTTTTTTTTTGAGGGGGGAGGGGGGGGTTAATTTTGTTCTTAATTTTTCATAGGGGGAGGGGGCATTAATTGTTTTCTTAGGGGGTGGGGCTTTACTGGGGGTGGGGTTAATTTTGTTTTTAATTTTTCTTAGGGGGGAGGAGGCATTAATTGTTTTCTTAGGGGGGGGGTTAATTTTTTCTGAATTTGTTTATTTTCTGTATTAATTCTTTTCTTAGGGGGGCGTTCATTTTTTTTCCTTAATTTTTCTGCTTTATTGAATTTCTCAAGGGAATAGTGATTTAAATAAAAAGAAAAGAACTTTTTTGTAAATTTCGTCTCTACTTCTCACTCTTTCACCTTCCTTGTTTTTGTTTGTTGTCTCTCTTTTTTCACCAGCTCTCCACCCCACCTCTCTCAAATATCTTTTTATTTCGTTAGAACTCCATTTTTTAAAATCCCTCTCGTACCCCTTTTCTTTCTCTTTTTTCTCCACCTCTCTCTCTCACACATACCCTTTCTCCTTCTTTCTTCATCTCTCTTTTTATGTTTTGCTCTCTCTCTGTGTGGGTGTTTGGATTTAGCGAAACATAACGAATCCATTTTTAATTCATGGTGTGTACTGGGTAATTATAAGTAATAGATAACAGCAAATGGTATATTAATACTTAAACAAGATAAACAAAGTAGGTCATTCACTTGTAAAACGTTTACCTCCTAACTTAATGATTTTACGAGAAAAACCACACCATCAAACAAGAGAAATTTATATTTAAATATTGACGATTTAATATGGATAATCAAAACAAGTATTCAAGGTTATTGACGAAGACAATGTTGAAGTCGATGATGATGTCAGTGATGATAATGATGACAGCAATGTTGTCGGTGGCGATGGTAATGAAGCAGTCAAATAACGATATCAGTGATGATGTTGATGATGATGAAGATGATGACGATTTCCCTTTCAAAATGGTTGGTACCTTTTGCAAAAATGTTTTTGGGAGGAACTATATCAACCATTAGATTTCAAATCATACGGTCTAATTGTTTCAGACCACAGTACTGCATGGGTGTACGTTTCGTTCAGAGAAACTAAAGGGGGAACCAATTCCATATCGGTCATTTAATTAATTGGATTAAAAGTAAATGGGGAGCATCTCCAAAAAAAGGAAAAATTTTCATTTCATTAATAGAGTATCTGTTCTTCCTATTAATAAAATACAGGGCTTGATCTCCACCAGGACTCCTGATGTAGACATGAGTCCTAACAATTGCACCTAGAAAACCTGGCAACCTGCAGTATTGGTAGAACTGCTGCTGTGTTGCTTCTACTTCTTCTCTTGATGTTGGGAACTTCATGAATTGGTTCCTTCTTCTTGCAAACGCTTCTGACACGTCTTTGATGACTCTGCATACAGAAGACTGTGAAAGTTGTGCCTCATCACCATGCATCTTTTGGAATGACCCTGTAAAAAAAAAAATCCTTTTAGTGAAATATCAACTAGTACAATTTCTTACAAGTTACATGGCCAAATCAAATTCTCAAACTGAGAAATGTTTAAAGTCCTTAAAATTGTAGAATAGATTTTTTATTAAATCAGGGCTGTCAACCCTCTTGCATTTAGAGGGAGTCTCACGCCACCACGCCGTTCCCCCCGCTTTGATGTAGAATCTCCCGGTTTATGAAAAAACCTCCCGCAAAACATGGTAACCGCAATTTTACCCTTTTACTTTTTCGCTCAGCCCAGATTAAATAGAAATTTACTAAACACTAAATAAGGTAAATTACTCACCAACAGCATATAATCAAAGTGCTGTCACTACCTTTATAGGTATTGGGTCGTTTCTGTCTGTCGTCCTCCTCAGCTCTTCATCCACCAAGTTGATGAGGTAGAGCGCTGTCTCTTTGGAAAACCAGTACCTGGTCCGAAATGACTCATCATCATACACTTCAAAAGGGTTCATGGGTCATGAAGGCCTCTCTGAGGTCTGCCTATCAACTCTCTGATCCGATCAAGCTGGCAGAGATGGTGAATATATTCACCCATGCTGTCTCTGTCACAACAAAATAGAAAAAAGTGAATTAAAATTAGAACATGAAATGAAAAAATATCATTCATTGTTTATCAAATAAATCCTATGATATTACATGTTTTGCATTCTTTGTATTGTAGACAATCTGATTTTGAAAAGCTTTTGCAAACTCTAAAAAAAATATTAACGATACTTTGATTGCATTAAAGAAATGAGTGCTATTGATTCATACTATTGGGTAATTAGGAAAGATGATGTCACTGAACCTCCATAAGAACGTAGGGGCCAATTCCTGTCAAGTTTTGTTAAAACTCTAGACTCATGCTTGATAAAATGTGAAATTAGATACATGTACATGTAAATTAGCATTAGATGTCCCATGTGAAAGGTTGAATTTGACTAAGATTACATGTAGATTAGGAAGAACACACATTTATTTATTGGCTATTTGCTTGCACAGATTTTAAACTTGCTTCAAAATTCAAGTAGCCTACAACAATGTATTGATGTAGACTCTAGGCCTAGACTTGATCATGATGTAGTATAAATTTGTAGGAGTTGAGTGTAGATTTCTAGAGACATTTGACAGTCAGTACTAGAGTCTAGTCTAGATCTAGATCTAGATGGGCCTAAAGACAAAGTACCTCTCATTCAGCTCAGACTTGTGCTCGAACTCAGTGACGGTGAGACACACAAACACTCAACTTCTCAAGACACAACACAACAAACCATCGGCGCGGGCTTGGCATGAATTTATGAAAAGTAGGTTTAGATCTAGAAAGGTCTAGACCACATAGATCTCTAGACTAGATTCTAGATCTAGAGCCTGAGGTCTATACCGGTAGACCCTACGGCCTAGGTCTACTAGTTCTAGATCTAGAAAGTCTAGAGTACTAGACTAGACCTAGACTAGATCTAGACCCTAACGTTAGGTCTATTTTGAAAATTTCTAAATCTAGAATAGACTAGAGTCTAGACTAGATCTAGGTCTAGATTCTAGACCTTTAGATCTAGACTAGATCTGCATCTTTTAAAATAATTTACAAAATACTTTTAATAAATTCATGCCATGGTTTGGCGTGCTTTGACTAGATCTTGAGACTGAGGACTAGATCTAGATAGATCTAGCCTAGGCCTAGATCTATCATCTAGCCTAGGCCCACGTCGTGTTTGCGTGTCTCACTGCCACCGACTTCGAGCTCAAGCTCAGGTCTTAATCTTATTCAGTCAGTACTTAGTGTCAGTGTAGGCCTAGTAGTACTAGAGACTAGTCTAGATCTAGGTATAGACCAGGCCTCTGTATAAAGTAGGCCTAGACTAGACTAGTAAAATCCATCAGCGTGGAAGAATTTTCATTTTCATTTCGGCATTTTCGTTCTCCTTATTTCTAGATGAGAAGCAGCATCAGCAGAGCAGAAAATGCCAAATGGAACTGTTGCTATACCCCCCCCCCCGAGAACAGGAATGTCTCAAATGTCATGATCAACGTATTTTTCTTCCCGAATCACACAATTGTGTGATGTTATAACTTATTTCGTATTGTTAGCTGGCACATTCGCAGTTGCGAAATTGCCTCGCCTCGCAGGATTACATAAACAACACAACACAAATACACACGCATGGGTCCGAGCTGCGTTAGGTTCTGCGACAATGTTCGCAAAGGCTGTGCAACTTACGATTAAGATTATTATTCGTGCACTTTTTACGCACATAAAACATGTTCAATTGGGCTTCCATTGTAGCAGAACTGAGAATATGGTACACATATGTTGTGAATAACTAAAAATACTTACAATGTAGGCTATCAAAGTTGAAAAAACAGCAACTTTGTGAAGGTCTCTTCACTTTGTTTCACCACAAATTTGTCAACAAAATTTGTACGGTCGTCTGCGCTAAAAATTCAAAGCTCGCTGGTATGACGTCATATGACGCGTTAAACCGTGGGTTAAACCGTGGGTTAGATTTAGCCGCTGTTTAAACCACCCTTCTGAGCAGGCTAAAATTATGACGTAATATGACGCGATTTAGCCTGGGTTAAATCTAAACTTCCTTTGTGAATACCAAAATAATGACCCATGGTTTAAAGCTCGGGGTTATGACGTATTATGACGCGATTTAGCCTGGGTTAAATCTAAACCTCCTTTGTGAATTCGGGCCAATGGGTTGTGCTCTTTAATGCCAAATAATTGTTTAATTTTGAGTCAAAGACATTGTCTTCAAGTGATGATGTGATAATGTGAACATTTGATAATCTCTACTTTGAATTAACAGGTTATACACAAACTCTATGGACATTAACGTATAGCCATGTTATAGGTTTTCAACTTTGTGCAAAATATGTAATATATATTTATACATGGATTGTTTTTATGTTAATTATCGCACAGCATGATATTGTTGTGCTATGTTGGCATTGTTTTTAGCAAAGGTTTTATTCAAAGGTGGTGTTTGTAGACTTATAACCATGCTCAAGCTTTTCCATGATATTAACATTGTGAGGTACAGGTGATATAATATCATTTAAAAAAGAAAACTCAGATTATTGGAAACATGTTTTTAGTAATTGCATTCAGAATTGCATGTGTAGATTTCAACTCATATACAAGGAAAATTTCATGTATCTAAGCCTCATGACTGGCTTGCAACGAACACTCACGTTCACGTTCACGTGATCACGTATCACGTTTTGCGCTGTTTCGTAAATTAGGTGACTCTAATTTACGAAGTGTAGGGTCTACCATTCGTTGTTTTCCACTCCGGTAAAACACGAATGATCACGTCTTCCAAAACGTGACGTGAGTGTTTAATCAATATTTTTATAATTGCAAGCGCTTGTTACTAAGACTAGTCATGGCGTCACCGTAATATGTATGATTTGTGTGTACGGTACGAGTATACGTATCGCCTGCGCCTAGCTAGCTGACAACAAAGTCGGAGAATGGGTGAGTAATTGATTGCAATATGAGTGAATTTAGTGAATTTAGTGATTAATTTTGAAAAATTTGTAATAGTTTTCGTGATCTTCGGTAATTTCTTTTCATTTTGAGACTGTTCTCAACAGATAATTGGGGAAAAGGCTAGGGAAATATTTCTCTTCAAATTGCACTTTGATTTTCATCGTCGTGAAGTTGTTTGACTGCGGTTTGCCGTCATGTCACCCAGTTAGGGCCCGGGGTTCCGGGAGGCCCACGCCGTGGAATTGCGGTGCTCATCTGCAAATTTGATCGTCATCATGAATCTAATTCATCAATTTATTGATTGAATTTAAATCTAGATTTAACTTACCTTGAAATAATCTATGAAGTATGATTTCTTTAATAATCCAAGTGGGTTAATTCTTGTTAAAATCTTTAGTAGACCCTTCTTCTAGACGTGGACTCTGTTGAGGTACTCAATACCCCCCCCCCCCCCCCCCCCCACTGAGCAAAATATTGGCCGGCACGATTTTCAAATTTCAGCACACTAAATTTCAAATTTGCAATTATACACGCAATGGCCCAACGTATAAATTTACTCTTACTCATGTATTATACATTTGTTTCTATATTTTGTATATTGTTTGCATACCTTATGTTTTATATAATTATCCATATTTGTTGAATAACTGATTTGTTTGATTGCAGAAAATAAAGTCTTTGAAATGAAATGAAATGAAAAATTGGTGGTGTCAACTTCAGACCAGAATTATCTGTGACCATGGATAATCAAACAACTCCAAACCCTATTTTATTTAGGCCTAGATCTAGATGTAAACCTGGAACTTATTAATAAAAATATTCAAAAAACAACAACTAGGATTTGTTTATTTAATGTTTAGATTTTGTGTGGGTCCAGCATGCTTGTCTAGTTGTCATAACTCATATTCATAAGGAGTCTAAATTAAAGATTTGTTTCCAAATTGTGCAGTTCATGTTGATAAATATATTTTTGTTGGACGTTGTATAAGAAATGACCCCTAGTCCACAATTATGTTTACTTATCTGTAGTCCACCTCTTCTTGTTATAATAAACTAATTCTACTTAGTACTTCTTCGTGCTCATAGGCCATAGAAAGCACTGTGTGAGGTACACGTTAAATATTCCATTAGTTTTACTTTGTACTGTGGTTCATTAAATAGGAATGTTGATTTCCACACCATGTTAAATTTAAGGCCAACCATGACATAAAAAATAGCTATTATGCTTGATCTATTTTATTGTTAAGGAGAAAGGGATGCCTTGATTATTGTATTGGTTTTTTCCTTCTTTTTGTTCCAACAGATTGAAACTAAAGAGCTGAAAGAAGTTAACAACATGAAGCAGAAAGTCCCATGCAGGTAAAATTACCAGGTTATTTAGCACACAAATATTAAACGATCACCTACATGTATTAATTCACTAACAAAGTAAATGGAACTAAGTTGACGTTGCAATTATAGCGCTTAGAGACTTCGGTGGTGAGCGCTTTATAAGTAACATTTTTATTATTATTATTATTATTATTATTATTAGCGTATATAGTGGAGGGTATATTTTATTCTAGTTCTGCACCTAGCATACAATTTCAATTTCAATTTCAAATTTATTCACATTTCCAACAAAACATTACAAATAATTATAAGCATTTAAAACAAATTTAAGAAATGTTGGAAACAGAGGGGTCCACTAAAAAGCAATGCTTGTACAAGTGTGAACACCTCAAATGAAACTTAGGAATAATGAGTAATTAAATTTACTATTCTGTAATGACAAAAGGAACTACAAAATAGGGGAAAGAAAAATGGGGATGCCAACAGAGACGAGAAAGGGACAAGACAATACTTTACACGACAAAGATAGAAGAACATGGTCATAATTATACAAAGAGTAGACAATGACAAAAAGAAGTGAGAGATCGAGGGTACAGAACAAAAATACTAAATGATGAGCTGCATGTGGGGTTGGAAAGAGAAATATTGATGTCTTTAATTTTTGTGGTTTACAAAGGAAAATGTGTCCTTATTTAAAGGAGGTCCTGTGTGCCCGCCCCCCCCCCCCCCACTCAGTGTTATTTGGGGTATGCGTATGCGTGTTCCCTCCTTTTGAAAACACCCCCTAAGTCTGGTGTGTAAAGTCAATACGGGCCGGATTTTTGTGTGCTATGAGCCAGACTTTGTGAAAACTACCCCTTTACTGGACATTTTGGGAATACGCATGCGGTCCTGCCGACCCCTGAGTGGGGGGGGGGGGGGGGACCGGGCCTGTGTGTAGAAGAGCCATATCTAATCCACATCCAAAGCACTACATGTAGGGTATACACAGGACCCCTCATTACTTTTTTGTAAGGGCTCCTTTCACTTCTTGAGCAATGAAGATGAAGAAGAACACAAAATAAGATGAAAGTCTGTTTATAGGATGTATTATGGTTGATATGTATCCATAAGTATCAGTTTTAAATTGAAGTACCTACTTTGTTTTCTGTCATGTAGGATGATGCTTCTCTACAGTGGGTGATGAAGGCATGCTGGTTTACAAACTCAGGAGAGGAACAAAGAAGAGATATTGACGGGATCATATATCTAGAGATGCGGGCCTACTACACTTCATACGAGCAAGTGTGCTAATATACATGTAGGTACCCCAATAAACTTTTGTGGAACACATGTCATGCAGAAAATTATAGATCTGACGAATAATTGACTGAATATCACAATTGTGATTTAGATTAAAAATTAAATGTCAATATAGATGAAATATAAGTCTACGTTACGTATGTTTCAGTAGCATTATTTCCAGTATATTCTCTGGTCCAAGTTGTTTGGTCATTTTATGTCCCATACTTAAAGGTAATACACAGTTTTAGTATGGGGTCATAAATTTGGTTCAAATGAACATATTGGACGCATATGAGATCCTACAATATTCAGTGATCGTTGTCGCGGTTGTAATCGAGTCTAAAATTATGAAATTGTAAATAATAAACTCTTTATGTTGTATAGCTCCCTCTCAAGGTCAAGATATACATTTTTCTTGACTAAAATCAACCAATTTGCTATTCTCGTTTGGAAGTTATATATCACATCTACATATTCTGAGATTTTCATGGTCGCAGCTACCATTTGAAATTTATCAAAATTTACCGGGAGCACCAGTAAATATTTATATTCAATTTTTCTCGAAAGCAGAAGTGTTTTAGAGGCTAAGTTTTCTAGTGCTTATAATACATCCACAGGGGCATTCAAATATATCAAAATTGTAAAGAATCACTATCCACCCAATTTTCAAAATTTCGTAAAACTTTGTATTACCTTTAACCAAGTATTATTCAATAATGAGCACGAGTTTACATCACAAGTACATTGTATTACTTATTTCATACCTTGTCTGAACCATACTCCAGCAGTCCTATCGTCTCAATGGGATCATCAGAAATAATCTAAAATGTGGTCAGAAACTAGTCTTGTACGAAAAATAGTTTCGGTTTGCCCAATAGAACCCCAAGTGAATTTCAATCCTTCCTTTTTCTGAGCAGGTATCAGGGTGTGTGTTATTAGTCGTCATTGATTTTCTTATATCTTATTTCATTTTTCCATTCAACAGACTTGGGTTATCACTACAGCCCTTTCTTCTGAAAACTAGGCTACAACTTTAGTGATGAATGCAGAAGACATCTACACGGGACTACGTCTTAAAGATGCCACCCTCATATATAGATGGGTTTAAACTGGAATATTTACATGATATTTATTTATTATTTGTATTATATGTTTGTAGAATACCACATTCAATAAAGCTAATGAAGTTTATTATCTTGTCAACGTAGAAATAATTAAAGATAACTAATCCTCAATGAATAAACATTAAAATTCTAACAATGTAAACTACCATCTTATAAGATGAAACTGAGGACTGGGCAGAAAGATTCTCCTTGAAATTTGAGTGATAAAGATCTATCAGTCCATATCAAAGATTGACTTAATTAATGATATTTTAATTATAATTATACTTGTTGAAATTCATTTACCTCTATGGACGGGGGGGGGGGGCGGCTTGCTATCCTCTTCGTGGTGCTATTATTACATGGCCCATGTAACGGGTTGCAATAGTGTACACATATGATTATATGTTTATATTAGAAGGACTTAGAAAGTGAAAAGTTTTGAATTATAGCATTAGTGTTGGTTGAAGTAACGGCAGCAGTGGCGGATCCAGGGGGGGGGGGGGGGCCGGGGATTGGGCCCCCCCCCCTGGCGCTCAAGGGGGGGGGGGGTGCAAATTGAAATTTTTTTGAGGATCAAAAAAAAAAGTGCTCACTACCCCCCCCCCCCCCGTCCCCCCCCCCCCCCCCCCCCCCCCCCACTGAGCGAATTTTTGGCCGGCGCGTTTTTCAATTTTTCGGGAGCAAAAACAAAAAAAAAGTTGGGCCCCCTCCCCTAAGAAATCCTGGATCCGCGCCTGAACGGCAGTGTTGATTGTTAATGGGAGGGGGGGGGGGGGGTGTTTCCCCAGTGAAATTAACCGTATACCAATGTAAAGTGAATTAAAAAAAGAGAAAACTATTCTTAAAAATAAAAATTATACAGGACATGGCCTCCTAACAAAAACCCTGGTACCACTTCGGTGGTGGTGTTGTGTTTTTTTTTTTTTTTTTTTTTTTTTTTTGGGGGGGGGGGGGCAAACCAATTAAAAATTTCTAGTGTTAAATTCAATTGTCTTTTAAAAAAAAAATTGTCAAGATATTGAAATTAAACAATGGTTCACTTTCCTTTTTTCAAGTTAGAAAACTTGAATAAAATGCTAACCCTAAATTAAAAATGTTCTACTTCTAGCAAAGATTCTGCAAAGGCTGCAAAAGGTAGAGTGAAGAGAATCCAATTGAAATGTGGACAGTAATGGAGTGAATATGGAATGGTTGATCGTAGTTGATAACGAGGGAATGCAAATGAGTGGTAACAAGTACGACTGAAAGTGAGACAGAAAGGAATTGCAAGAGGTTGTTCAGTCAATGGAACAAACCTTGCAGAAGATAATTTTCGGAGAGAAATAGAGAAAAGGGGAATCATTAAAAAAGGAAAAGGGGCACCTATCAGTAGGAAAAGGGTACTTACGAGAAAGGAAAAGGAGGCATGTGTCATAAGGACATTGATGAGAAAGGAAAGGGGCTCTTATTAAAAAGGTAAAAGGGCACTTATCAAAAATTATAAGGGAACGCGTGACAAAGTAAAGAATAAAAAAGCCTTTTATCAGATATCACAAGAGGCACTTATGAAAAGGGAACAGTGGCACTTATAAAAGGTAAAAGGGGCATCTGTCAGATTTGAATAGGGAGTAATTAACGCAGGTGGTAAGGGGGCGTTTAATAAGTAGGCCTATGTGAAAGAATGTGTTTTTATCTCGAGTTTGTCTCATCATGCGTGGGATCTGTGGGTGCTGGGGTTCCTGAAGCAACCCTATACATGGATTTTCTTCAGTGGGTGCATATAACCCATGGACATTTTTGTAAACCTTCAAATGATGAATTATCATCGAGCCCCCCCCCCCCTCATTTTTTTTTTGTCAGCTCGTGACAAACATATAATCCAGATGAAATAATTTCTTCACAGCATATCAGTGGCGGATCTAGGGGGGGGGGCGAAAGGCCGCGGCCCCCCCCCCCTATTGGCGGCGCAAAAAAAAGGAAGAAAAAAGAAGAGAAAAAAAGAAAGAAGAGAAAAAAAGGAGAAGAGAAAAGAAAGGAGGAGAGAAAGGAAAAAAGGAGAGAAAAGAAAAGAGAAGAAAAGAGAAGAGAAAAGAAAAGAGAAGAGAAAAGATAACGAAATTATTGAATAGAGAGGGGGGGGGGCCGGGCCGGCCGCATAAAATCTCGAGCCGCGGATTGAAGTTTAAACGTTAAGAACAGCCCCTGCGCTACAAAGGTCATCACTCTGAAGTGAGAAATTTGAAAGGGCACAATATTTTGGGTGTCTTTTAAATAGAAGTTATATACTCAACAGTCAAATTCTAAATTAACGGTAGGGCCGCTTCACAACTCTTATTTTGCCCTTCATTTGGATTCAGCTCATACCAACTCGCTTGTGCTTGTATTTGAACTCATATTGGTAGTAATCATGGACAGGGGCGGCAATCCTGGGCCCGATAGGGGAACACGTCCCCCAGGAAATTTAGAAATATAGCTAGAAAGAAATATAGCGAAAAGAACGTACATATTGGGCTCAGGGATTTTCTAGAATGCATAATTTCAGCATTCAACATTGAAAAAATCTCGCTTGGTCGCTACGCCCCGGCCGGCCGCGGCCCTCGCCCGATAACACAAAACTATGACGCTCCCGGCCGTGATTTATCCATGGTTGGTGTAATAGATCTTTTTCCATTTCATTTCTACTAACCTAATTGTGTGCCATCACAATCATGATTGTTTCATTTTCCCTTTAAAGCAGGCGCGTAGCCAAAGGCGGTAGGGGCAGTAAGATGACGAAAAAGGAGCAGACAAAGAAACATTTTTGAAAATTCTGACACGTCGAGAACGGTACAAGCGCCAGGGGGGGGGGGGGGGGGGGGCCCAACCCCCAAAAAAGGTAAAAATCACGTGATTTTACATGATTTTTTTTCACAAGGGGGGGGGGGGGCCGGGCCCCCCGGGCCCCCCCCCCCCCCCCTGGATCCGCCACTGGGTCAAAGCTTCCGCGCTTTGCGCAGGCGGGAGGAACCTGAATTCAGACAAGGATTAAGAGTCGAGAATGGTACAACGAATCGTCTTCTTTCTCTAATAATTTAATGAAACGTCAAAGCTTCTGCGCTTCGCGCGGGAGGGGGAAAACTGAATTCAGACAAGGATTAAGAGTCTAGAACGGTACAACGAATAGTCTTCTTTCTCTAATAATTTAATGAAACGTCAAAGCTTTCTTCGCGCGGGAGGGGGAAAACTGAATTCAGACAAGGAATAGGAGTCAAGAACGGTAAAACAAATCGTCTTTCTCTAATAATGAAGAAAAGGTCAAAGCTTCCGCGCTTCGCACGTAATTGGGAGGGGGGTGGCAGCGAGCTGCCCGAATATGAGTTGTTTTATATCTTTTCTCGTTTATTTTGGTGATAAATAACACTTTCACAATATTATGGTCAAATTGTTGCTCGCTCACTAGCCGAATTGTGAAACCAGAAAATTATTTTTTCGGGCAAGAGGCTATAGTCCCCCCCCCCCCCGATGAAAATGTCCAAAATTGTACCGGTATGGTGCTTCTAATATGACCTTGAAAAAACGGTCTGCGCAATTTTGGAATTTCCGCCCCCCCCCCCTTTTGGAAAATCCTGGATCCGCGCCTGGCATATGAGTAAGGAAAGAAAAATGTGAAAAAGAAACCAAAGATAAACTTTAAGAAAAAAAAAAGAGAGAAAGGAAAGAAATAGGCCTATTATCTTGCTCCTTTTCATTTCAATTTTCTTGCAATTTATTTATTTCTATAAATCTTCAGCCTTCTCCACTTGCATCTCTCTCTCTCTCTCTCTCTCATTATGGGATAAAAAATAGCATATGAACCTACTCATGTAAGGCATAATTTTTCCTATCGGTCTGTATTAATTTGAAATTATGCGAGCCAAATATTGGTACGTAATGGTGACCAGCAGTGACGTAATAGGGGGTAGTGCAGGGAGGGGCGAGTTTCCCCCTCCATATCCTCCGCGAAGCTTATGACGTTGCATTAAATTATTAGAGAAAGAAGACGATTTTGTTGTACCGTTCTCGACTCTTAATCCTTGTCTAAATTTAGTTCCCCCACCCACCCCCTTCTGCGCAAAGCGCGAAAGCTTTGACGTTTCATTAAATTATTAGAGAAAGAAGACGAATCGTTGTACCGTTCTCGAAAATAATCTTCGTCTGAATACAGCTCCCCCTTGATATCCCTCCTGCGCGAAGATCGAAAGCTTTTACGTTTCAGAAGACGATTCGTTGTACCGTTCTCGACTCTAATCCTTGTCTGAATTCAGTTCCCCCTTCCCTCCCGAGTTTTATATTCCATTAAATCATTAGAGAAAGAAAACGATTCGTTGTACCGTTCTCGACTCTAATCCTCGTCTGAATTCAGTCCCCCCCCCCCCTCCCGCGCGAAGCGCGGAAGCTATTACGTTTCATTAAATCATTAGAGAAAGAAGACGATTCGTATTACCATTCTCGACTCTTATCCCTTGTCTCAATTCAGCCCCCCCCCCTCCCGCGCGAAGCGCAAAAGCTTTGACGTTTCATTAAAATTATTTAAGAAAGAGGACGGTTCGCTGTAACGTTCTCGTCTCGTAATCCTTGTCTCAGTTCAGTCCCCCCTCCTGCGCGAAGACTTTGATATTTCATTAAATTATTAGAGAAAGAAGACAATCGTTGTACCGTTTTCGACTCTTAATCTTTGTCTGAATTTCAAAAGTGTTTTTTGTCTGCTCCCTTTTCTTCCTACGTCCTCTTTCTTTACTATCCTCTCTTTTTTTGTGGCCGGCTTTTTTGGGGGTGGGGGGGGGGGGGGTGGCGCCCCCACCGCCCCCTAGCTACGCGCCTGCTGTCAGATGAACATATTTTGGTACCTTGTAAGGCAATAAATTACGGTCAGATAAGCATTCAGGGTCCCGCCTTAGGGCCCCTGGTGGGGTCGAGGGTGTGGAAACCC